ATTCTTAGATGTGAAATTGTAGAGAATATAGTTTTACAAAATGGTCAAATGTTATACATAAATGTTTCCTTTTTGGGGTAATATATTTTCTTTAATTTTATTATGTTATGTTAGTCACTATACAATATATTCCTAGTTTTGATGTGGTGATTCACAATCCATTGTTTTCATATAACACCCAGTGCACCATGCAGTATGTGCCCCCTTATTACCCATCACCGGGCTAACAAATCGCCCTTCCCCTCTAAAATGCTGTTGGTTTCTCAGAGTCCATACTCTCTCATGGTTCTTCTCTCACTCTGATTCCCCATCCCTTCATTTTTCCCTTCCTTCTCCTAATGCATATGGCCCTTCTTTTTACTACAACTGTGTCTTCGGAGTAAATACCTAGAATTGCAATTGCTGGGTCAAAGGGTAGCTCTATTTTTAACTTTTTGAGGAACCTCCACACTGTTTTCCAAAGTGGCTGTACCAAATTGCCTTCCCAGCAACAGTGTAAGAGGGCTCCCCTTTCTCCACAACCTCTCCAGCATTTCTTGTTTCTTTCCCTGTCCATTTTTGCCATTCTAACTGGTGTAGGGTGGTGTCTCAATGTGGTTTTGATTTGAATTTCACTGATGGCTAATGATGATGAACATTTTTTCATGTGTCCGTTAGCCATTTGTATGTCTTCTTCAGAGCATTGTCTTTTCATATCTTCCAGCCACTATTTGATTTGATTATCTGTTTTTTGTGTGTTGACTTTGAGAAATTTTTTATAGATCTTGGATACCAGCCCTTTACCTGGATTGTCTTTTGCAAATACCTTCTCCCATTCTGTGCGTTGCTTCCTTGTTTTGTTGACTGTTCCTTTGCTGTGCGAGAAGCTTTTTATCTTGATGCAGTCCCAAAAGTACTTTTTTGCTTTTGTTTCAATAAATTTGGAGATGTATCTTGATATAAGTTGCTGTGGGCGATGTCAAAGAAGTTATTGCCTATGTTCTCCTCTAGGGGTCCTCTCTGCCTCTAGCATGTGAATGTTTGTATCATTTCCCAGATTAGGGAAGTTCTCAGCTACAATTTGCTCAAATATATATTCTATTCCTCTCTTTCTCTCCAGTCCTTTCAAGATTCCAATTATTCTGACATTGAAATGCTTCATGGTGTCATGAAGCATTTCTGTGATTCTATTTTCACGGATTCTGAGTTGCTTTTCCCTGGACTCTTCTTTTCCCTTTTTATCTATTATATTGTCTTCCAGGTTGCTTATTCATTCATCTTCCTCACTTACCCTAGCTTTAAGATTATCTTGATTGGATTACAACTCATTGATAGCATTTTTAAGTTCTGTCAATTCAGTTTTCATTTCTGCCCTTAGAGACTCTATGTTGCCACTGATTGATTTTTCCTTTCTAGCCCTTTTCTTCACAATTGCTACCCTGAATTCCGTCTCTGACATCTTGGTTATATCTGCATACATTTGTAAATCTCCACCATAAATCATAATCTCTGAGTCTTTTCTATTTTAGGGCTTCTTCCTCCTAGTTATTCTGTTGATAGATGTTTGAGAGACAGTAAAGAGTCCAAACTATTGACCAGAACCCAAACAAGATGCACCTGTTTTCTTGGGACCTTAGGGTTGTTGGTCTCTTTTATTCTCAGCCAGTATTCTCGGGGAGGGTCCTGCCACGCTGTTACTCAGGCAACCTTGTTTGGGCAGAGTTGCCCTGCCCCCTGTGGCAGGGGATGGGCTCAGCAGGAATCAGTTTTGTGCGCTTGTGTTCTCTAGTGACTTTCCCTGGCTTCTTTCATTGTCTTTTCTGCAAGTCAGAGTAGAAGAGACCAATTCCAACCCTCTGCCTCAGGGCAGAGAGACCGCAGTCTGTTCTTCAGTGAGCTCTCCAGGCCACACTGTCTCCGTTTCTGTCCGTGCTACTATAAACTGCAGTGTCCTGGGTTGTGTGCCCCTCTGCAGCGCCCCCATTCCTGCCTCCAGGTCGGAGCATGTCTCTGCCCTTTGTGCTTCTAAATGGCCAGCTGCTCCCAGTTCCCACGTGAGACCCTGCCGCTCCGGGTTTCTGCCCGGGGACTGCCCTAAAGTCCTTTCCCCGCTGCTCCTACTCTGTGAGTCTCTGCTCCATTCCCAGCGCATAAGGCTGTCTCTCACCGGCGGTGTAGGATCCCCACGGCCAGGCACATTCCTGCTGCAAATTATCCTCTGATATATACCCACTGAATCATGGCACCCCGTTTAGTACCTCAAAATCAATGGCCTGCGATATTCTGTTCGTAGAGATCCGGATCTTCTTACATCTCACGGTGGTTTCATGGGTGCTCAGAGTGGTCTGGTAGATATCCAGCTCAACTCCAGGGACCAGTTGAAATAGGGTTCCCTACTCCTCTGCCATTTTTCCTCTCCTATCAAGCGCTGACAGTTGATCTCAACTCAGGTCTTGATCTAAGTCTCCTGAGTTCAAGCCCTAGAGTCAATCTCTAATAGAAAGCAAAAAGTTGAATGATGGTTTTTCCATTATTACAAATAGTTAGTTTAAGTTAGTGTAATTCATGTACATTTATTTTATTTTATTTTATTTTATTTTATTTTATTTTATTATTTTATTTTATTATTTTATTTTATTAGTTTTTTAATTTTTAATGTTCTTTTTATTAACACAAACCCAAGCACGAGCTAGAGAGTGTATATCTTATCTTCATATAGTCACACACATTAATTATTATATTAATTTCATCTTTTGAAGAAATCTCTCCTCAGGGTCTACTCCAGAAACCTCTAACTTACTATAGTCTTTAATAGCCAATCTCTGGACTTGGTATAGTACTATGATCTTGAGGTCTCTTTCATCTGCTTGGGGATTGCTTTTGATCTGACTTCACCTGTGTTTCCCAGTTCCTGATTTGAGGTCTTCCTCCTTCCTTCTCCAAAACTGCCTTGTGTTGTTGACCATTCTTCAGTAGCTTCCCAGGAAAGGGTGCACGAGTGTTAATTTTTTTTAAACTTTGAATGGACATATCTTTGTTCTCTTGATGGTTTGGCTGGTTATAGAATTCTAAATATTTTGAAATTTCTTATGATGTGGTTTGGATAAATTTTTTTTCACCTGTAGTTGGGGTACTG